TAAATTTAACAATAAAAAAAGTAATAAGTTTTAATGGCCTTGGTAAAAATGTTGTGGATTTTTCTTTCCAAATACACGGACAGGCATGTTTATTTGGCACCTCATAGTAATCGTTTAAAGCGTTTTACAAATGTAAAAATAAACACCTCACATGCTTGGTTACGTTTATTAGTTATTTAGTAATAGGGAAAGTTTTAATGATCATGCACAATTTTTGGATTTTATTGCGATAGTCAAAACGGTTGTTTTGGCTCCAGCCTGGAAATTTTTTTTTAAATTTTAATGTCACAGTTTTTTACAAACTCCACTTATGTTTTTTTACACCTCCACATTTTTTTCTTTTGTTCCACCTTTTTTTTTTACACCTCCACCTATGTTGTTGTGTCGCAATTAAAGTAGGATAATAATTACCGCGAGGAAAACACATTTGTGCTCAATTTTATATAAATACAAAAATTCTTTGTGTATGAGAACATAGTTATTATTTCTTGAATATAAAAAATGTCGAGAAAAAAAAAATTGCATCATCTTATCTAGGGTAATTTTTTTTGATACGATAAACTATAAAGCTTGAGAAAACTGGAGATTATAGTTTTTCAGCCAACAAAATGCAAGCAATTAATTTAGTGTTTAAAATTTTTTAATTGTGAACATCAAGGTGAAACTAAAGTGTATTATTTTGCAATCATTTAAAAGATCATTTACAAAAAATAAAACAAAAAAGAATTTTGCACAACTGCACAAAAAAGATTTGTGCAGTTGATCTTTAAACGCTTTTGCTGACAAGCAGGAAACTTTTAAAAACCACAAACTGGCAAGAATGTTTGTTTGGTACTTTTAAAGTATAGGTTGTGGTTAGGGCAGGGTGATGAAATTTTTTTAAATAATCACAAATTTAAAAAAAAACTGTTATCTTTTTAGGTTTCAAAACATTATTTTAATACTTTATTAACAAAATTATTAATATAGTCTTCATTAATCAATTAATTTAAATTGTTAGTGATCTAAATCAAAGGGTGATTTCACCCATTCAAATATGTTTTCGATGATATGAATTTGATCAGATTTACTTTCATTTACTGTTAATTGATGAGTATCATTGATTTTATCATAATTTTTGTTTTCCTCAGAGGTAGTGTTGTTTATGTTTCAGTGTTGTCTTGCAAGGTTTTTAATTATTTACAAAATAGTAAAGAGCAGCTGTGGCGCAGTGGTAGCGCACTTGCCTCAGAAACAAAGGATCCGCGGTTCAAACCCTACCTCTGGGCAGGTTATGCGACATCGGTTAGGAAGGAGGCGTGAGCTTCCAGTTAAACGCTCATCCGCGGTGCTCTGTGATAAGACCGTAAGGACTTCTTGGGGGCACCTAAATTAAATAAAACAAAAAAACAAAACAAAAAAAAAACATGCATTTGTGACGCTTTACAGTTTTGCAATATTTTGTGATACCTTTGGCTCAGGAATAAAAATTCCTTCAGCAGCATAAAACATTACAACTGTACCTGGTAAAAAACGTTAATGAAAATATTTTTTCCAGAAACTTCGCCAAGGTTTAAAGCAATCTAGAACATCAAATATAACGATCATTAAAAAATATTTGACTTTGTATTACATGATTTGCAATCTTGCTTTGGTATTGGTGACAGTTTAGAAGGTTCAACATATTCTGCCCAAACAGAATAATTTTCAATTACTATATCCGACCATACCTAAGCTAGATTTTCTGCAGCTTTAGCAAAATTTTATTTTTATAAATCAATGTCAATTATTTTTCCAGATGCATTTAGATGTATCCCAAAATGATCATCTTGCAAAACCAATCCTTAGCAGGATTGATTTTGACTCTCGACTCAGCCGAGCCATACACCGTTCAACTCTGTAATATGCTGAATAATGAGGTGCATGAGCTCCAGTTAGATAGACATCCAAATCCCATTTAATAAATCTTGCAATCGCAACTTGCAATGGTTTGGGAAACCTTGGATTTTCATCAGGACCTCCATCACATGCAACTACAAATATAGGTTTTACCTGACCTTCTGGAGTACAAATATGAAGCTTAAAATTTTCAATCGAAACAAGACGCTCCAAATCACGGCCATTAGTAAAAGCCGTGCTGCTATCATTTTTCATAGATCTAATAGAAATATACGTTGGTCCAGAATATGACACTACGTCAGCAAATTTGTTTGGATCAATAATACAAGCTGTATAAATAAATAGCATCAGCTTATGCCTGGAAGCCACTAAAAAATCATGATCTGGCAAACGTACTTGATAATCAAGATGCATCAAAATTGGCGATTGTTTTGTAGAGCTGCTAATCCTAATGGTACTTTGGCTTTGTCGTCTAGACTTAAATAAAAGCATGAATCTGGACCAAACATTGAACAAATTTCATCCATGTATTGCATGCACGCAAATGTAAATCCAGCATCGATATGCTTATCACGAGCTGTATTAGTAGTCCTGATCAATTTCACAGGAACTGTCTTAATGTGACGTATTCCCTCAAGTGTGTTTGATCGCTTAGGCATCAGTCTTAAATAAGTTGTATATCGCAATAAACAATAAATCAGTTTTAGTAGGCTTTTATTAAATTATCAAGCGTCTTACATGAACGTAACTCCTGCAATTTTCGTCGATCGCTAGCAGCGGCTCCTATTGATGCAATGCTAACGATAGCATTAAGAAGATCTGGCTGATCTTCAATTACAGCTGGTCTACCATTTTTTCTCTATTGAATTTAGCAAGTTTTGATTTTAAGTAGGGCGTGTCATCGACAATATCATTAAGTGTTCGTTTCAAACTTGCTCTGTGCTGTCTTTGACGGATTGCCTCGCGTTTCATTTTTTTAAGACGGGTTTGTTTTATTTTTATTTGCTTTTCTAAAAAAATTCAATTTGATTTTAAGTTCGCCTGTTATCAATCCGGCACGGCGCACATTTACCAATGTTAAGAACTGCTCTTGTAACTGCAAAATTTCAGTTTGAATTTTCTCTTGTTGTGGAGTATGAGATTTTGTCGGCTGATCAATTGATTTCAAAATCTATTTTGTCTGCTTCATCGGATGTTAACAAAGCTCGTGGTCCCTTATTTGATATTTCGTTTATGAAAGGAAGCTTTACTGCAATAGGTTGATTATGTGATGTTTTAACATTAGACCAAAAAGACATCAACTGACTTTTACTTTCTATTGTTTTACGTGTGAGTACTTTTAAAACTGATTTATACGTCGATTCTTTATGCTTAACTTTATACCACAATTTATTAGCTTCTTTCTGTTGCTCATGTTTACTTTTTTGTGACATAGCTTTTGCTACTTGTTGGTAAATAATTTGTACTTTTCACTATTATTCATTTTAACAATTTCGGTTTCAATCTAATTTCAATCTAGTTTAGTTTTAAAATGATTTATAGTATCTTATTTTTATTAAAAAACATTTTTTACAAAATAAAGTTTAAAAAATTATAAAAAATTATTTACATAACAGTTTCAAAAATTAATATATAAACTTTAACAATACTTTAAAACTTTAGCTTTTAAACTTGTTACCCTTAGTAAGACTGTTGTCGCGCTAATTAATTAAAAATTGAAATATGAAGAAATTCTATTATTCTTTTTATACTTCATTTGTTTGTGAGCAATTATATAAATGAAATAGAACGTTTTGAAATATAAAGAATATCACCACTTTTTGACGACTCATCAATTTTACTCATGCCGGCGTAATTTTTGGACGATCCATAATATTTAAATTTCTTAAATAATTCTTTTTTTTTATAAATTTTAACTTTTTAACTCATTAAGAGAAAAGAGAAGGGGGGGGGGGGTACTTCAAAAGCGTACGTACTTTATGAACGATCCCAAAGGTGAATGTAAAAAAATTTAAACTGATGCTTGTTGAACTTAGTTCGAGTCGACTAGTTTATTTATTTTTTGTTATTTTGGTGCCCCAAGAAGACCTAACGGTCTTATCACAGAGCACCGCGGAAGTGCATTTAACCAGGAAGTTCACGCCTTCTTCCTTACCGTGGCGCGAAATAATGTCCAAAGCTTGTTTCGAACCAGGATCTCATGCTTATAAAGCAAGCGCTGTAATCACTGCGCCACGTCCACACATTCGTACAGACAAATCGATAACGGTCTGATGTCGGCACCTGAATTCGATTTGACGTCGACTTAAGACTCTGCTCTGAAGTATTTAGAACTAACTAAATGCTCCAAAACTAAATAAACCAAACTAAATAACTGCAAATAAAAAGTGCCTAATAATAATTATATATGTTCAACAAATGTCAGGTTAAAAGTTTTTACATGTCTACAATCGTATAAATTGAAAAAAAAGAAGCAGATTTAGCATCATTTTGACGTAACGTTAATTCAATAATGCCAAATTACCCAACTTTTTTTTTAATTACTAGAATAATGGTAATATGGAGTAAAAGAAAAAATAAATTCAATCTTTGGACCTTACCCACTTCTCATAATGGCTGATTTTTAAACGATAGTTAAAACATTCGACAGTTTGACGACTCAAATACTTTGGTAAGCAAAACCGCACTTTGAGCAATGCTCACTTCTGAGCTTTGCCTGATTTTCTTTGAAAATGGCTCTGAATCACTAATTTTTTCAATCTAAGAATTAAAAATTAAAAAAAAAATGTTAACGTTAAGAAACAGTTTTTTTTATATCACAACAAATTAAAATGGCTACCAAACTTTAAACGTCTTCTACACATGAATAAATATAATTCCCGAAGTAAATAATTTTTTTTTTAAATGAACTAATGTGTCGTTTATCTAATTTTCTAAAATCCGCCCTTAATATTCAAAGTAAATATTTTTCAAAAACGCCAATCTTATATGGAACGACCTTTAAACAGCTATTAATGTACAACTCGTCAACAAACTTCATAAAAATCCACTAGCAAAATTTAACTATATAAAAAAATATATATAATCACTTTGATAAAAAAAAATTAGTGAAATAGTCAATACAAATTGAAATAAATTTATTATTTGTTTATTACAAATAAATAATGATTTAAATATCTATAGTTTAGCCTGAGTTGAAAGCAGCATATAATTATCCTCCATCGCACGGGCAATTGATTCACCTAAATCTCCTGCATTTGTATTTGGGTGGCTATTGTAGGCAGATACTACGTATATAAATTTTGTCTCCATAGGATTGTAGCATACACCATACCCGTCTGGAACAACAGGACCAAAACCTAGACCTGCTTCATGCGATGTAGGAACCTAAATAAAATAAAACATGATAGCCTTTACTAACAAACTGCCGAATCCAAACCGAAAAATTCAAAAAATTTATCCAAATTCTAAACAAAACCAATTTGGGATTGCAATTCCGGAACTCCGGTATTTTTTATAATCCTTAAATTTCGGGATTGTCCAACATCAATATCGGGATTTTCTGTAACATCAAATAAAACGAAAATAATAAAAATATATATTGAAAAAACAACAAATTATGCCTGTAAATAAAATAACTTTTATTTTGTATAAAATTATAGAAAATAATTGTACTCACTGGGCACGTATAATACATATAATACATTATTTAATACGTCTAAAGCACGCATTAAATCGTATTAATATTTTTTTAATACGTTTTTTAGACATTTAAAACACGCGCCCAATGTTTTCAGCTGTACTGTAAAAAAGTTCTGTAAAAAAGAGGTTATCAAAGTTTATAGGTATAATGAAAAATAATACTTTTAAATATTTGCTTTACTTTACGGTATCCACATTTAAAATCATTATTTAATACATTTATATTTTTATTGTAATAATTTGTTATATAAGACAAATTTATGTTGTTTATAATATATATATACGTTTAGTTATTTACATATATACTTTGCAAAATTTTGTAGGAGTTTAACTTTTAAAATAATTGAAATAATTTATTTAATTGCGGACAACTCAATAAATTGCTTTATGGTTAGTTTTATTAATCTTTAACATGTTTAAAACTCGGCGAAAAAAAGGCAAAATGAGTAACAAAATATTAGTAAAAAAAATTTAGTTTTTTTTTATCAAAATATTTTAATTTAAAATTAAACTGAAAATCAAATAATTTCTAATTTGATTTAAAATTTTTGCTTATGCAAATAAATTAATATAAAGATTAAAATAAAAATTGTTATTTTGGTACCAAACAACAGTCTATAAAAATAACATTTTTAATTATATAAAATTTAAAAATCAATCATGACATGTGTGGATTTTATGACTAAAAGTAATTTAGCTGTTTGTAAATAATTTGTATAGGATGAGTTGTTATAAATTTGTTCGACCAGACAGCGATGTGTAAATTGCTGAACTGTAAGATTTTGAATTGAAATTGATGATGGTTTAATAAAAGATTGCACATATTTTATTAGTACATAATAGGAAGGGAAGATAATACACTAACTGCTATACTTGCCCACCTAATTGTGTCTGATGATTTCTCATTTAATGTGATTTGTTCTTCAACTGATTTACGTACTGCCAAATCTTGTACGATTTACGTACAAGATTTGGCAGTACGTAACTGATTTACGTACTGTCGTAGGATCTATCTCAATCAAAATCTGTCAATGTCAGTAAACGTAATTCTAATCATGTGGTAAAGTACAGCAATAGCATAGTCTGAATTACACAACAACCTTGTAGCTGAAATAATCGATCCAGCTTATAAAAAAAGTTGCTGGTTACTAATCAATATTATGGTTTCGCCCACAACCTTTAACTTGCAGTAATTGATGATCTTTATAAAAAGTGAAATATATCTACAAACAAATCCAAAAAGAGGATCGTGAAAATATAAAACCTCAAAATATAAAACCTCAAATAGCTAAAGTTCATTATGGGCAAATCATTAAAAAAGTATGCAAAGAATAATAATGATTGGACAATCACCTACCAATTAAGACTTATAAAAATATATAGCAAAATATACTTTGTAACAAATTATAAAAGCTGAATTTGGAAGTTAACTGTCTTTAATATTTGACTGGAAAATGAGGCAGAGCAGCCTTTACACAAGTTTACAAAGTAAAAATTGTATAGAAAAATCGTTAATTTGATATGTACTCAGTCCAAGTTAATTCTTTAGCTTTGTCAAATGATGAAGTTGAAATATTGTTCAAAATTATTACATCTTTAGTTCACATAAAAGCAACAACTGAACCACTTCGTTACCGGGATTCTAAACAGTTTACAGTTAACAACGCTACTAATTTTATACTTAAAAATTAAAAAAATGCTGACAGTAACACAAGCAAGAAAATGCGTACCAATTTAGTGGTTTGTATCTATTAATGCTGACCTAATATATGTGGACATCTGCAATATATGTGTAACGGCCGAAACTGTGTTTAAGTACAGAAAGAAATATTTAGAGTGCCTTCTTCATTTGAATGTTAAAAACGTTTTGTTAAATTGCTATAAAAATTAAATCCCTTTAATCCATAATCTAGTAGGGGCATCAGGTAAATCTAATACACTGGGATTTGACTAAAGAACCTGAAATGGTAGCTGAATCTGTAAGTAACACTTTGAGCATTAAAGAGGAACTTGGTTTGTTATTAATAAAGGGCAATCACTGATGCAAACAGTTAGATGAGACGTCAAAAATCCAAATAGAAATTACACTATTTAAAAATGGCAATTATTTAGAAAGAGTTTATTCATTTTCAATAAACGCTGACTAGTGTTGAGACTGAACATTTTCTTCTGCTGAAAAAAAAATAATAAAAAAATAAAAAAAATAAAGTAAAAAAAACTTGGCCTTAATCTTCTCACAAAAGACATTTTATTATAAAAAATCCAGAAACTTGAAGGTATAGAAAAGACAGAAATATTAGAACAGTAGCCAAGTAAAATGTGTTTCTAAATTATCTGAATAACCAAGACAAATAACCAATAATGATTCCCATAGTTTTTTCCTATATTCTGTTGTGAAAAATAAAAGCTTTGTAAGATTCTTAACAAAAAATACAATTGTTGAACTCAACATAATTAATCTTTTTTATCCATTTTTCTAGTGGCAATTTCATATTACTTCTCAAGAACTTTTGAAGATTTGTTAGCCAACCTTGGTTTAATGTAGACGTCAAATTAAATACCATTATTTCAATGTATTAAAAACATTATCTTAAATTAGGCTGTTCAAATTCCAACTTCATAAACTAAGTCACTGATATAATTTCTAGTAGACTTCTGTATTAGTAAATATTTAATTTCTTTTATATAAGACATTCTTCAATAAATTTACTTCTATTACATTGTCCTTTTCAATATTGTTGGAATATAAAATACACAATTTATTTGTCTTGTGTATCTTTGAAACTTTGAACCTATGTTTACATAACAATTACTAGAAGAATTAAAAATTTTTATTATAAAAAAAAATCACATAAATCTGTGGTAAACCAAAGTAAAACAAACATTTATGTATAGTATATAAAAAAAAAGGTCACTTATCTATACCTGACTGGTTGAGAGACGAAAATGCATAGCGTATTTGTAAGATGTATCACGAAACAATTCAGGTAAAGACATTCCTGAAGTTAGAGCAGTCATTTTTAATCCTAACATATGTCGATCAATAGCTTGAAAATTTAGAGCCTAAATTAGAATATCAAAGTATACAACATAACAACATAAAATAATCAAAATGAACATAAAAACTTAAAAACCTTATAGTTAATTTTTACCTCATTAGTATATTGCACATGCGCTTTTATGGCTTTTAAAAATAACTCATGCTTGACTGTTGCCTAAAAATAATTTAATAGTTAAAAAACATCCAAACAATTATTTTGTAACATTTTTTAAACAAAATTTGCATAATATAGATACATTTATGCTGTTGTTATCCATTGCTCTTGCATATCTAGCTGCAGCAGGTGTTGCTGAACGTATTGTTTCTGTTCTTCCTTTAGCAAACTTTCGAATAGAGGCAGTTTCATATGTTGGAGGGTGGTAGTTGTGTAATCTGTTGAAAGAACCATTTATCTAAATTTTTTAATGTTCCAAAGAAAGCTTGTACATTCATTTTCACATTTTAATTTTCATATAATACTTTATTTTCAATATTTGTTTAACATAAATAAGGTAAACAACTAAGTACTAAAAAGGATGCGTACATTTTAAAGGTGGGGGAGAGCAAGAGCAAAAAAATAATTTAAATTTTTTTAGTAGCAACATTAACATTAAAGTTTTGTTGTAGGTTTTTTGTTAATTATCATGAGTCAGAAAAGTTTAAGAAAAGTTAAATGTTTATGGTAGTTGAACTTGTAGAAGAAATGTTTATGTTAGTTGAAATTATAGAAGAAAAAATAATTGGCACTTTACAAAAACGCAATTGCATATAAAGCAAAAAAGTTTTGGATAAATTTTACTACTACTCTATCATCTCTATGTTGAGATTATGAAATATTATTAGCTTCTTTCATATAAATGTAATGTGGAATTTAAAGGAATAGAACAGAGTAATAGAAATAATTGTTAGTTAAAAACAAATGTAACTGGAATAAAAAGATTAATGAACATCTATAAAGAAAATAAATTTAAATTAAATTTAAAAGAATATAATATTAATACGCATTATATATTATTATAGATTATATAAAAAATAGAGTAACAATTTTTTGAAACTTATAAATAAAACATAAAAATATCCAATTAATTATATTTATTTAGGGCACACAAATAACATATAAAAACATTACCAAACAGCAAACAGTGTATAAAAAAGATTGTCTCATTGGATACAGCAAAAATTTTTTTCTTATAAAATCTATGGATATGTAAAATCTAACTTTGAATAAGGGTTTCTTAAAAATTTTGGGCCAAACTGATGCTGACCAAAAAAAGTTTAATATCAGCAATTCATTGCTTAATTTTTTATAACATAATATACTTAATATAATTAATTATAATATAATTATAATATACATCTACTTCTCACTAGTAAGCGACCCCAGCCCTGGCTAAAAATGAGACTTTTTGCAAACCCGGCCCCCGAAAAAATTATAAGATTTAGCAGAGGTTAATAACCTGGCCTAGAAAAATTTATAACACTTTATATATTATAGTTTAATACCTACAGTTACTATTTATTAAATATTGGCATATATTTATATATTTTTAAACTCTAACTTACTTCCAACAAGTTTGCAAGCAACCACTATTAAGTTATGAGTTACTTTAAAATAGAGGGTAGGATTAAAAAGCTAGGATTAGGGTAGGATTAAAAAGCTAGCGGTTAACTAAAGACTTAAAAAGTTGTAGGTTGTATAAAAGAAAACATAAAGATAAGTAAGAGTTATAGGGTTTTTTTGATGTGCAAGGAAAAAACTGGATTAAAAACTGGACAGATGCAGTAAAAGGATGCAACTTGTTGAATAAAAAGCCAAGCAAGAATGAGTTTTGGTTTATTATAAAAAAGATGATAGCTCATTTGAGTATCAACCATGCTAGTATTAGTAGAAAAAAGAAAGAAATGCAATCTTACAACAATAGGCTCATGTTTGGCAAATAAAGCAAAGTAAGATTTAAGCAAAGTAAGAAATAAGTTGTTATTTCTCAGTATAGTTATTCATCATTATAGGAATTCCAACAATATTGCAATATTTTTTTGCAGTAAATAAATGAGTTTTTTTGTCAAGCAAAAATTGTGAAGTCCAGACTTAGAATTTATAAGCCACTGCAAGCCTTAGGCTGTTAAAGAAGTGAAATAAGATTAAGAATTCTTCTGAGCAATCAAAAAGTGAAGACTTTTTATCAAGACAAGAGTGTAAAGTTGAGTTGTCAGCAAATAGAGCCACTTTGAATGTAAAACTTTCATTAAGATTGTTATTGTAGATAAGAAACAATACAGGAACAAAGATAGAACCTTGTCATACACTTATAGTTACTCGAAATGAAGAAGACCTTCAAGAATAATTTTAATACTCCAGTTAGAAAGAAATGACTTAATAATCCCAAAAACTTTATATAAAGAAACTAATAACAGAGTGAAGACTAATCGTAGGATAGTTGGAGAGTTCAAAGTGTTTTCTCGAGTTTTTAAAAACTGGAACCACTTATTTAGCGCTTAATAATAGTTCAGAAAAAATTGAAGAGAGTTCTAGAGAACACTTCTTTAAGATTATGATAGAAATCTTATCTGAAACACAAACTGTAAAAGTGTTTAGCTTTAGCATTGGAATCTAGAGTGATTTAGATGTTTAACAATGGGTTAATCTGTTTAACTGGTCTGCCAGGAAGAATATGGCCATTAGATTTAAGAGCCAAGTTAAAGAAAAAGTTCTTTCCAAATAACTTTGCCCTATTCTAAGGAGAAGTAAAAAGATCAGACCCATGAATAAAAGATTAAATGTTACACTTACTTTAGTCAATGACACTGAAGACTTATTAAAAGTCTCTAGAACCTATCATCTAAGATAAGATACAAGATTAAACTGAGAATAACAGAGCTTAACACCAGACAGTACCTTTTTACATTGGCAATAATAAAAGAACATTTGTTCTAAAAAGAGATATTCTTGTAAAAAGGATTAACAAAATTATAACCATTATATAGCAATAAAGCAAAATTATATATATATATATACATATATATATATATATATATATATATATATATATATATATATATATATATATATATATATATATAATAGCATTATATATATTATACTTATATATATATTATATTTATATATATAATAGCATTATATATATATAACATATATAATAGCAATATAGCAAAATTATAACCATTATATAGCAATAAAGCAACTGCTCAAGATGGTGAAAAATGCATAGTAGAATGAGGCTTGACTTAAAATTGAAGAGAAAGAATAAAAGCTTCCAAACCTTTATTGTAAAAAGTATAAAAGCTTCCAATATGTGCATTTATGCATACATAATATGGATATAAACATATTTGTTTGCTATTTATTTAGATGCTGGCATACATTATACTTACATATTTATACAAACTTTAGTATTTATATGGCGTAGTATATTCCAAAAGAAAAGATGATCAGATGGATGTGTTACTCTAACAAGATTAAAGTGATTTAGGTATCAGCATGTAGAGAGGTAGCAGCTGTTCACCTTTAGGTGCTCCTGATAAAGATTTGATCTCTCTAAAACTACTATCTCATTCTTCTTCATCGTCAGAGTCCCCCTAACATCGTACCTCTTACAACTCCTTTAAAGCTGAATGGGACTCTTTTCCGCGATTTTCTTCGTGATGGCCCTTGGGTAGAAATCTTTTGTCTTCCTGCTGACAAATAGGCATCCTACATAACTTCTTGGAATCAGGCTGGCATGGAATCATTTATTCACTCTTGACATTTCCAAGTCAAGCATTACTTTTTTCCATGGTTTTCCTCTCATTGTGCTGCTGCAAATTCCAATCGTAACCATTACTATCATATCTAGCAGCAAAACGACTCTCCAGAAAACAGACGCCTGTTTACTATTGCTAGAAACCATTGTAAAAAGGTTTTTTCTAATGCCTAAGCTTTCTATTCTCAGGTCACAAAACCTCATTTATAGGCTTTCTCGTTTCTGGAGAATCTCCAACAGTATCTATAATAAGGGCAAATCTGTTATTCCATCTCTCTTGTAAGGTTCAAATTTTTCTACCTCTTCTAAAGACAAAGTTGAACTGTTTGCTAAGAACTTTTGCTGAATTGTTTGCTAAGAACTTTTACTGAATTGTTTGCTGAGAACTTTTCATCAATATCATCTCTCGATTCCATTAGTTGCGTTCTACCTGATATAACCGAGAAACAAGTTGATCCATTGCTTGATATTTTATCACTCCTGATTCTGTATCTAAAGTGATTTCCTGTTTAGACTCTTCTACAGCTTGTGGTCTGAACAACATACCTGTTATAGTCTTGCAAAAGGGTTTTCCAGAACTGTCACCTAAAATTTCAAAACTATTTAACAAGTGCTTATCACTTGTTTTCCAGTCTGCTGAAAAGCAGCATCTGTTATCCCTATTTTCAAAAATTCTGGAGAACGATCTGATTGTCTAACTACCGCCCCATTAGTCTTCTTTCTATTATAAGCAAGGTTTATGAATCTTTAATTAACAAACACTTAATCTCTCATCCTGAATCTAATAACTTTCTGATCATCAATATGAATTTCAATCTTCTCTTTCTACAGCTGATTTGCTAACAGTAATAACCGATAGATTTTATTGCGCATTAGATAGAGGTGGAAAGGTTAAGGCTATTGCTCTTGACATTTCTAAAGCTTTTGATAAAGTTTGGCATGCTGGTCTTCTCCATAAGCTTTCTTCTTATGGTGTATCAGGTAACATCTTTAAGATTATTGAATCCTTCCTTACTAATCATAGTAAAAAAGTTGTCCTCGATGGATAGCACTCTTCTTCATAACCTGTAACTTCAGGGGTTCCTCAAGGTTCTATCCATGGCCCTATACTCTTTTTAATTTACATTAACAATCTTCCAGATATTCTCTCATCTAAGGTGGCATTGTTTGCTATGATACTACAATTCATTCTTGTCTGTCTTGATAAGAAGCCAACACTCTCTGATTGATTGGAGGGGGCATTTGAACTTGAGAAGGATCTCATTTTTGCTACAGCATGGGGCTCTCAGTGAACTTTAACTCATATAAAATTCAAATTTTTTTAAGCTCAGCATTCCCGCAATAATCTGAATCTTCCTCTATTTATGAACGGTAATGTACTCGATAAGTTATCTACCCTTCATTTTCTAGGATAAACTTCTGATCTTTCTTGGAAACCATTTATCAAATCCATTGCAAAATAAGCATCTGCTAAAGTTGCATCTTTTTATTGTGCTTGGCACTTTCTTACTCAGGATACTATTCTTTATCTTTATAAACCCGTTCTTGTAAGGAATACTGTTGCCATATCTGGGGTGGATCTTCGAATGATGACCTTTCTCTTTTAAACAAGGTGCGAAAACGCATTGTTAACATAGTTGGACCTGCTCTTGCAGCCAACCTTCAACCATTATCACATCGTCGTAATGTTATTTCTCTTTCCCTTTTTTACAAATACTATAATGGGCACTGCTCTAAAGAGCCATTATAGTATTTTACAAATACTATAATGGGACGTGCTCTCTTGTGCCATCCACTAAAATTCATTCTTGTGTTACTTGTCAATCAATAAAGTCTCATCCTTTTTCTGTGACTGTTCCTAAGTGTTCCAAAAATTCTTACTCATCTAGTTTTTTTCCTCAAACATCAAGTCCCACCTACATGTCAGACTTTTTATTCTCAGGTTTGGCCTCATTTCTTTAACTATATAACCATTTGAGCTCCATTGTCAAAATTTTTTATAATAATTTGATAAAAAGAACACCTAGACAAATCATTCTCACAAAGCATTTTATGAAGAGGTCTATTAGTTTAACTTAACTTTTACCATCGCTTTAGTTTATCTCTATGGAACGCTTTATACTTTTTTCTAAAAGAGTTTTGATTCTATAAAAATTGATTACTCCCCAATAATTTCCAATCAAGTAGTCTGTAGCACTTTGAAATACCTACTTTGAAATTTAATTTTACATAATATACATTTCCCTAAACTTATATTTTAGTTTAAAAAAAACATATTAATGCACCTATTTTCCAGACATCGATACTTGTTCAGACCATGTTAATATATGTGTTTAATATATTATATGTGCCCAATATAATATAAGTGCTCAAAAAATATGAAAACTATTTTTTTTTTTCAATATGTAAAACATATTTAATTAAAGTGTAGTTTATTATTTATTTAACTAACTTTTTTTAATACCAAAACTTTAATCATATAAAATAAAAATTAATGATTTAAAATTCAACAAATAAACTTACTTTTTTTTCTTATATCACTTACATTTTGCATTTACAAAAAGCAAACTCACCTGAAATATGCGAGCTGTAGACTAACTTGAAAAAAAGCATCAGGACTTAACTTATATCTTTTCGGTAGATCTTTGCCAAATAAATCAAAGTGAAAAACACGTGTTTCTAAGTCTCCCGTCATTCTATAATGATAAACATTTAAAACCACTAAAAAATTAAACATTAATTGTATTTAAAATATTATTAAATTTGTTTTAAATACTAACTGGTCAACATGGTCCTTTGCTAACTCAATTCTATCAATTATGTCACTGTTTAAATTCCATCTAAACTTCTGAGGGATGGATTTTTTGTTTGAAACAGTACTTTCCGAAACAGAAGATGTATTTATATTCCTTAGGTGATAAAAAACAAACTATAATAAGAATAATATAAAAAATTTAATGATCACCTTACTATAATAATAAAAAATTTAAAAAAATAAAAAGTAAACATATAAAAATAATAACTTATATTAAAAAAAAAAAAGAAGCTATTTATTAATTAACATTTTGTCTTGTTAAATTAGATAAATAAGAATTTATTTTGATACTCAAAAATCTTAACTAAATCTCACATTAAGACAGTAAAGAGGAGACAATTATCAAATTTACAATAAACACACAATAAAAATATAGGGGATATACATATCTAAAATATGATTGCATAAAGCCATAACAGGAGGACCTTCAGCCCCAGAATGTTCATAACAAAGACCAACCATTCCATTTCTGTTTACAATAAACTATTGATAAAAAAAGAAAAACAAATGATTTTATACAATATGTTGAAATTAATAATAAAAGTAAAACCTCAATTAAACAGTTTTAATTGAGGTTTTACTTTAAAGCATCTTACTTTTAAACAAAACTAAAGCATCAGCTTTAAAGATATTCATCTGATAGGTAATTGATCACACTAAAACAGCTCAATTTATTTTATCAAAATAAAGACAATATGTTTTTTATTGTCATTTTAATTTTAATGTTAAAAAGTATGCAAGCTAGTAAAAGACTTTAACCCATCTGCTGTAACATGCAGCTTAATCAGAGTTTATAGTCCAAAGCTGAGTTTTTATCTCACCGTTTATAATGCCATCATATATCTTTTAAGTTTTTTATAAAACATAAATTTGGTTTAACTTTATGTCTATTTCTCTCGAATTCGGTTTTGTATGTGATTTACTGAAAATAAATCTCTTTGGATTATTAGAATCAGATTTTTTCCCAGTTTGATGGACACTTCTGGATTGTAAAAAATTTAAAGTTCATTAAAAAAAAAATTCGATTCTAGTTCCATAACATTAAGATAAACTTATAAATAAATCAAACCTGACAAATCTTATCGAACCATCTATTCATACTATTTTCATGAGAACCTCCTCCATGTATCATTTGACCAATCAAATTTGGAAACTCATACTTGTACTGAGTAGCGACAACAGGTACTGGTTGATCAAGACAAATCAAACAAATAGATTTGACAATACAATCAACATTTTCTTTGTTAATTGGGTCTATAAAAAAAATAATTTAAAAAGCATTTTTGTGCTTCAATATGCTTTAGCAGCCTATAATTAATTTTAAGCATTGAAAATTAAAAGTTTTTAATTTTCAATGCTAGAAATTATCATTTAAATCAAATTTTTACTATTTATAATAAGTTTTTAAGGTTTTATTTAAATAACTTTTTTAAAAGTAAACTACCTGAAATTAACCTTTTCCAGGTTTGAGCCCAAGTATTTCGATCTTGGGTAGTGAGAACGCCCACTGAGCACTCATCTTTTTTATTTGACATACTGACAATGTGGAACAGCTGATCTGCTAAATAATCTTCACTTAAAGGGTTTCCATTATCATCATAAACATCTAACTTAAAAAACTAAAAAAAAATTACTTATAATAAGATCACTTATTTGAGAGGTTCAAAAATACAAAAATTTGTATTTTATATATAAATAATTTGTATATATATACTGAGTATATATACAAACTATATATATATATATATAAAAATATCTCATATAAAAAATTTTATGACCCACCCTAATATATATATATATATATATATATATATATATATATATATATATATATATATATATATATATATATATATATATATATATATATATATATATACATATATACATATATCAGGCTTGGTCGGGAAGCGGGAGCAATCGCTCTCGATTGCTGACCACGTAAAATAATATTTAGTTGCAAAAAGCTGGCCAGATTTTTTAGTTGTTTTGAGAACATTTTAAAAAGCAAAAAAAAAAACGCAAAAGATTAATTCGACCGATGAGAGATAATTACAAAAAAAAAAAAAAATTAGGCAAATAAAATATTTTTAAATGCGAAAAAACTTTAAGCTAAATAAATTACGTTTAGAACAAATATTTTCGAAACATCGCTCTTTTATATGCGGTGTTTTTTCATCCGGGAGTTACTTTGTATGCGTTGTTTGTGTTTAGTAACCAGAAACTTCTTATATGTTTGTTACGTAATTAGTTTTATTAACTATAACGATTTTAACTTCATTGAAAGCGCAATTATTTTTGTAAGTCTTTGTTTAAATCATAAAAATTGCTTTAAAAGATACATTATGATAAAAAACAGATACACAAAATTACATTTTCATAAAGAATACATACTTTTCAAATAAAAAATAAGAAAATACTTATCTTTAATACAAGAAAACTAGAAATCTCAAAACATAACAAATCGTGAATAATACTATTTCTAAAACATTTCAACAGAATACTCTAGAACTTTATTTCGCTAAGTCAGCGTATTTTTTGAACAAATAGAATTAGTTTCTTCGTTAATTTGGCAGGTTTTTAATGTTTGCGAATATTCTTTTTATTCTTTCGCACAAAGATGTTTTGAGAACATTCAAGTTTATTATGTTTCCATGTATGTCCGTAAAACAAAAATTTTTTGTTTCGTATATAAACTTAAATGTTCTCAAAACGACTAAAAAACCTGGCCAGTTTTTCGCAACTAAATATAATTTCCGTGGTCAGTATTCGAGAGCAACCACTCCCGCTTCCCGACCAAGCCTGATATATATATATATATATATATATATATATATATATATATATATATATATATATATATATATATATATATGTATATATATATATATATATAATTATATATATATATATATATATATAAATATACATTTATATATATATAATTATATATATGCATATATATATATAATTATATATATATATATATATATATATAATTATATATATATATATATAATTATATATATATATATATATATATATACATATATATATATATATATATATATATATATATATATATATATATATATATATATATATATATATATATATATATATATATATATATATATATATATATACAGGGCCTTCAAGAGCGCCAATGGCGTCCGGGTCAAAAATGGAGAACCGCGCCCCTATTTCAAACCAAAAAAATTTAAGTTTTTTTAAACGCAGCCATTATTTATTTCTGATACATACTTTTTATTTCTACTTTACTATTAATTGTCTGGATTGAGAAACAGTTCATTAATCAAATCTTGCACACGAATCAAAATGTTAGTTTTAAAACCAATTATGCGGTAGTGGTGTAGTGGTAGAGCGCTCGCTTCATAAACGAGTGGTTCCGAGTTCGATCCCCACCACGTCCCTGGTAGTACCGCGCTCAACTCGTTTCTCCGCGCAGCGGCCTTGCTCGTCAACGTTCGTGTTTCGGAGTTATAGAGGGTTATAACCATAATTAAGTAGCCTCCTCGTCTGTAGTGGCCTTCTCGGCCTTGAGTAGGTGAACTAAAATAAAAAAATTAAAAAAAAAAAAAAAAAAATGAAAAGTCAATCAACAAAATCTTAGACAAAAATAAATAAGGCGCATAAAAATGATTTTTTTTAGCTTTTCTGGTCGCTTAAATATCGATGACACTGTCAAAAGTTTTTTTAATTATTTTGATTGAAGTGAAATCTTCAATCAAAATAATTAAAAAATCAGTAACTTTATCCTGGCCCTTGGTCAAACAAAGTGAGTCAAACAAAGAGAGTTTATTCTGCAACTGAAGCAGAAATTGTGTTGAAAATGTGGAACATGGTGCTAATGTACGGAAAAAGGCGTTCAAGCTTCTTCTAAAAGATTTTATTTAGTAGCTGCAGTGGAACTCTTTGCTTAAAAACTGTTTTGCAGGCATGGTTAAAACGGCAAACTTTTTTTAATGAGACGCTCTTAATTCATATCTCTCAGATAAAACCGTGCAATTTTGCAAGCTTTATTTTAAACGGAAAGATCATCATTACTCAACCAGATGAATAAAAACATAACACCAACCATTTGAATTGCTTCAAGTTGTGACTCAATCTGCTGGATTAGACTATCTAAACTAACAATAAAAAGCTTCTTTATTTCGGCTGTCGTGAAAATGAATTGTGCTTGATGCCTCATCATAAAAACGTTTCAGTTTACATTTTTTTTTTGTAGCAAGTTTAGTTTCAAAACTTAGCGGTCCAGCTACTGCTACAGTCTCTTAAAAAATTTGCAATCAAAAGCATTTTCCAGTAAATCAAACATAGCTTGTAATTGAAGGTAACAGCTTCAGATTGTAGAAGACGACTAACGTTGTTAACTAAGGGTTTTGTACCAAAACAAAATTGGCAATACAAAATTAAAAGATAACCATTTTTTAACGCTTTTGCTTGGCTGAGCTGCTCGCTGATCAGATTCAGGTTTTCTATGGTGTGTTTAAGAGCTGTCCACATTTCTCTCAGCCTCTTGACAAGTTATTTAATCGCATCGGTACGAGAACTTCATTATGTCATAGAAAGTCTATGCAGTAAAATTCCTGTCGCTTTAGTGAGGATCTTTCATCGGGCAGAACTTGCACTAAAAAAGTTATCTGCTCAGTGTGAGATGTAAAAAAGGAGTAGCATGTTGAAGTAGATACCAACCTGGATTTTCTTGACGGCTACACTTCGGATAACACCACCACATTCTCTGATGAATCCATTTTGAGACGACTGAAAGAAGTAAGGGACGCTCATTCTGTAGCCCCCTTGTTGTTAGCGTCTTACATCTTCGAAGTGGAAAGCAATGAAGGGGTTGTAGCAACTAATAAGCTCCATACTGATAAGAAAGTTTCCTCTTTTTTTTTGTGTTGCTTCACCTGAAAAAGAATGTCTGATTTGTTCTAGAACTTTTGGTGCAATGTGCTGGATTGATGCTGCTTTACTCAATCTATAAATCTGCTTTATTGATCTTTAACTCCTCCGTTTTAACAAAGTAGAGACAATTCTCGGCTTTTAAATTTTAAATTTCGTGCCCAGAAGTAAGGGACGCTCTCTACTGTTCCCTTTGCTCGCAAAGGGAACAGTAGAGAGTCTTGGTGGTCAAAGCCAAAAATTTTTACTTATTAGACAAAGGTTGATGAAACACTTTCAAAAAAAAAAGGTTCTCTTAATAGAATCACGAGGAAAATCTTGTTGCTTTAATATATGTGAAGGGGGTCCCTTTAAAATAACTACATCTTGATATTTTTGATTCAAAACAGCAAAATGGGTTCGGCCACAAAATTAAAGTCAGTAATATTTATTACCAAGTCAGATTGAGCACCAAAGTTTCCCACTGTTGGATAAAGTTCTTCCTTCTAAGTCACTTTAAAACACATTTAGCTCATACATATTATACAAAAAGAGTGCAGCAGGTGATCAAGAAATAGAAAGAGAGATTATTAGCCTCTTGGCCCTCATAGACGAACTGAGAGTCACGGTAATTATTATAGAGATTCTTAAGGTTAAAAGTTAGTAATTACAAAGAAGTTGTTTTTAATAACTTTTTTCCTTAAAGGGACTACCAAGTCCTGAGACATGTTGTGTTCATATTAAAGAGAATTTAAAAAAAAAAACGTCTGAGCAAATTTTTTTGGATTAAAACTAATTAATAAATGTATACCAAGAAAAACAAATCTTGTTGTTTTAGTCGAAGCTCGTCTTCTCCATTTTCTCTGGTATTTTGAGTATGTAAAATAAACGTGATTTTCCAGGCGCATTATAATTTATTCAAGCGCTTTTAATTCATAGGAGTTTTAGTGCATGACGTCATAGTTTTTTTTTTGTTTGTTTAAAACACCGGTTGTTATTTTTTACATACAATTTCCAAATCATATCCACTTTTTTTACATTTTAAAGTTCTAAAATGTGTTTGTAAAACAAAATTAAAAACAAAATTAAATTAAAAACAAAATAAAATTAAAAACAAAATAAAATTAAAAGCAAAAATAAAATAAAAAATTTTTTACATACAATTTCCAAATCATATCCACTTTTTTTATATTTTAAAGTTCTAAAATGTGTTTGTAAAACAAAATTAAAAACAAAATTAAATTAAAAACAAAATAAAATTAAAAACAAAATAAAATTAAAAGCAAAAATAAAATAAAAAACAAAATAGTATTTTATTTGCGCAACTTTTTTTAAATAATCGTCTAGACCACGTGTATTTTGATTTCTTTTGTTATAAGTTTTTTTTTCAAAATATTAGATAAAATAATTTTTAACCTAAATAATAATGCACTTTTATTAATTTACTTTGTAAATATTAAAAAAACAAACTATTAACACATTTTTTCTCTGATTTTCAAAAATGTATTTTTTGGTATTGAGGTGATCTTATTTCATTATTTATATTTCCATTAAAACATCTAATATATATTAGGGCGAAGGCTTAAAAATTAAAAAATTAATATATATTAATTTTTATTTTACAGACATACATAGAAACATAATTAACTTGAATGTTCTTAAAACATCTTGCAGAAGAATAAAAAGAATATTCGCGAACACTAAAAACCGGCCA